TTTTAGCTTCCCAGTTTAATTTTTTCCAAGTCGAATGAGGATTTACTAGGGAAGACCCCAACTCGGGTGTGGCGATACGGGCGGTGACCTACATCATCTGAAAGCTGACATTTTCCTGATTCCAAATCTGATTTCAAAAAGTGCATTGTCGCTGTAGTTTTCGAGAAAATTGGGTCGAAAGTTCCGAAAAATGACGTGATTTTTCATCTCATTTTCCCTCGTATATAAGTTTTGAAGCGTTGAAAAAATGTCGAAGCGTGGTCGAATGATTTGTGAGGAGGAATATCAAGTGATGACTCTCTGGTTCGACTCCCTCGAGCTGCTAAACTTTTTAAAAAATTTTTTCTTCGTTCTTTCCGGTGACCGTACTTGTATAAATGGACATAGGTTATCGAATCTCGTGAAACAACTTTTTTTCATTGATTCTCTTTGTTTTGAATTAATTCTAGCACATTAAAATTTTTTCTCGAAAATTGAAAAAATGCCAAGGGGGCACCCCATGGTGATTTTTTTGAAAAAAGTTTTTTTTCGAAAAAAAGAGAAAACCTCTTCAGATTGTAGACACGCATACAAAATACAACCAACATTTAAATATCCCCAAATAAAGTCAATAATTCCTTCAGAAACTGACTCCAAAAATGAGAATTTAGTACTGTAATCACTTTCAAAGCTCATAACTTTTTTTACAGGGCCGGGGTGGAAAAACTGACTTCAGTTCTATATTCAGCGTGCCCAAAAGTAATAATGACAATAGTTTGAGCCAAATCGAGAACATGCGATTTGTCTAGAATCCTCGATGAATCACAATTCTTTGAAAATTGCGGAAAAATAGATGAAAACAAAAATTTCGAAAATAAAAGGTAAAACAGTTAAAATCAAAATTGAAACCAATTTCAAGTATATGGAACCATATAGGATCACCTAGAAGTCAGATAAAGTCACCAGAAAAAACAAAGAAAAAATTCAAAAAAAGGTTTAGCAGCTCGAGGGAGTTGAACCAGAGAGTCATCACTTGATATTCCTCCTCACTAACCATTCGACCACGCTTCCACATTTTTTCAACGCTTCAAAACTCATATACGTGAGGAAGGAAAATGAGATGAAAAATCCACGTCATTTTTCGAAACTTTCGACCCAATTTTCTCGAAAACTACCGCGACAATGCGCTTTTTGAAAACAGATTTGGAATCAGCGAATTTTCAGCTTTCAGATTATATAGGTCACCACCCGTATCGCCACACCCGAATTGGGGCCTTCCCAAGTTAGTCGGATTTTTCAGTTTTTTTTTGTGTCACCAGCAAATTCAGGTTACAATATGGTAGCTAAATTAGTGTATTTCATGCTTCTTCAAAAGCATTTCCAAATGCCAGGAACTCCTTCAGCACGTGGGTTCAGGCGAGGGGGTCAGAAAGCTCGCCCCAGCTAACTCGTAGGCCAGCCGAAATTATCTAATTCAAAATGACACGTGGATTTCACGTGGTTATTTCTAATGTTTTTTAACGATACAGAAGTCTATGAATTCGTTTTTTTTTCGGTGAATACTGCTCCATTTATGTTGATGTTCTCCCTAAATTTTCCGAGGAAGGGGAAGGCAATATATGACCATTTATTGAGATTCATGACATTTAACAAGAGAGATAACAATTATTATTAAACCCAATTGATACATCCGACTTCTCACGATGATCCATCCGACTTCTCATGTGCACAGCTCGTGTCGTTGTTGTCTTCGCAATCGGATGCCGGATTCTGGTTGCTCTGAAAATAGAACGAATTATTGAATAACCTCTAATAAAGAATTAATAATTATGGAAGAACCTCAATGCATTTAATATCACCTAAGGACATGACATCCCACCTCAAAAACTCACCTCAAAAAAACGTCGAAAATCGAGCTTTCTTCCATTCGCTCACTTGGCTCATCACTGCACGAGGCGATAGCATTGGACTTCTCACCTTAATAAATAAGTTGAAACTTTTTTCAACTAACTTTCACTGAAAAAAGGGGAAAAAACGAGAAAAAACGAGCGAAAACGAAAGAAAACATCGAAAAATATTGAAAAAAAATATTCGTATTCGTGAAGATCATACATATAACTTGACACAAAGCTTTAGGCCGCGCAACCTCCAATAATAGACCCAAAGGCTTTGAAAAATGATGAAGGACGACATTCCGGAAAATATGAAACAGTTATATCTACTTTCGAATCCCAAAATTTCCAAATTTGTAGTCTTCATTCCAAAAAGTTAAAATTCGATAAACTACGAAATTTGCAATATCTGAACTACTAAAGAATTAGTGAATATCAATTTGAAAAATTTTTATCTCTAATCTAGAAGTTTCAAAATTCGAAATATCCGAAGTTCAGGAAATCGATCTTCGAAGATTGAGAAAATCAAATTGGGAGTTAAAGGACTCTCAAAATCAAAGAGCCACAGTTTAAGAATTTCGAGCTTTTGAACAGCTGAAGTTTTGAATGCAAATATCGGAACTGTAAATTTCTCAAGTGCTCAAATTTTAGAATTCTAGATATGCCGAAAATTCAGAAAAAAATTTTTATGAGCAAATGCACGGAATCGATCAGCTTTATTTTTAGTTCGAAATTTGAAAATAGGGAGGCTTGAAAAATTTAAAAATCAAGAAAGGTTCAAGTTCCGGAATTTAGAAACTCTAAATTTTAAAAGTTCAATGTTTCAAAAAATACTGAATGTAAATATTCGGAAATCTGAAGCTGGTAAGTTTGAGTGCTCTAAAATAGACGAATTCGAGAAACTCGTTAATTCAGAGAGTCAGCAACGGAAC